GAGCTTTGAATGGTGACTTTCCCGCATAGGTATCTGCCCCCGACCCTCCTCTAACGAATGGTGAAAACCGCAGGTCTAAATAACTTTCCAATCAAAAGTTACAAAGATTTCTTCCACCTGCATTTTTTTAAATTTCGATAGTAGGTGGTATGACATGAATTTCCTTATTTATTCTTCAGAAAGTTCTGATTGCGCTGGAAATCCTTATATCGGTAATGTAGAGTTTTGTCAATAAGCGTATCTGAAAGATATCACGTGTATCGGCTTTTCTCGAGCAAAGACAGCTTTAGATAACAGCTCTAGTGCAGAATGTTACCTGAAAAAGAATATCAACTTAGATAAAGTACACAATCATGACATATAGTACACAATTATTTTTCGACAGTATGATATCGACTAAGACTATAAAAAAAACATTTTAACAATGTGTGCGTTTTCCTTACGTACTTTTGATGTTTGTATTCGATTCAGTAACAAATAAACTTACAAAACATACGACCTGAACCCGTTTAATGATGAATAGAATAGAATATGAATATATTTTCTTCAATCAATTCTCACTTTATCCTTTGCCAGGGACTTATTCATAAAGATGTGAAGGTAATTTTATATTTGGATATTTTACCGTCGTACTCACATACATGTTCGAACTCGACCAAAGTATCAATGAGATTAAACTATAATGCATATCATGTCATAAGGGTTTATCGTTTCTTTCAAAAGTGATCGATTAAACAAACATATAAGCAGACACACTAACTGATTCTGAAAATATAATAAATTCTTGAATACATCAAAAAGAAAAACAACAAATGAAAATGTTTCGACAAAATATACTTGTGGTGTTACTTGATTTGGATTTTCGTTATCAAAATTGATACAAGACACATATGCATATAGATATAGAATGGGGTTTGGTGTTTCATGTTCAAAAGGAATATGTCGAATGGGCAAATATCAACGCCGAAAGAGCAACGAGAAGAGTACACTACATCAAAGCTTTACAACATCATTCACAAACAAGCGATTCTGTTTAAAAAAGACTAACGACGAATAGATTCAATCGATATTTGCGGATTCATTTTTCGTATTGCACATCGTCTAATCAAATAATCGATGAATTTGACCAAATTGGGTACAGCAATTTTCAAAGCAGTAAATAAACCACCGATTAAACCAATTGTTGCTGTAACGATATAAACAACAGCAATTTTTGTTTCATAACTATATGTGCATTCAATTGGTTGACATTCATCATAATAATTTTCATATTGAGGTGTCCAATTCCACTCTTCAATCATTAATTCGTCAATGATTTCACCCATTGTTGAATTAATTAAAAATCGACTTTTTAATGATGCATTTAATGCTCGTGGACGAAATTGAGCTGATGGCTTTAAATGAGATTGAATGTTATCAACACATTCTATATCATAAAAACATTCGAGAGTGGATCGAAAAACTGTATCAGTTATATAACATCCGCGATAAACACCACGCACGGAAAATATTGGTTTCATTTCAGGATAAGTGTAAATTGTCGACGGAGCAAAACATACTGAGGATCTATTACATTCACAGTCTCCGAATCGAGATGGACGAGAAAGATATGTTTTCCCATCAGATGAAAGATAAAATTGATAGTTATGGGTTTTTGTAGAGTATAAACCATTAGCCGCATTTGTTATCCGCATAAGACTCAATAACACAAGAAAATTATACGCGGTCGTTGATTTAAATTGCTTAACAAATGTTTCAATTTGTGATTTAAACAAATCCGAGGATGAAACTACTGTACTAATATATTGATTTAACTTGAAATCTTTTAAACTAGTTTTAATGATCTTATCTGTCGATTGGCACCACCATGACAATGCTTCAAATATATGCTTTCCTGCTTCTCGAAAATCAAACAAGCTTATACTTCCTGTATACAGACCTTTAGACAGATAAATATACCACGCATTAGCATTCGATTCACTGCCACACACTTGATGCAATGTGAAATTAATCTGAACAATATCCTTATAGTCAATTGACATTTTTTCGCATGGACATGTCAATGTTTTCGAATATGTTTCATACAATTCTTCATATTTTTTCAATGAAGGTGTTTGAATTGTTTTCGTGATGGTCACTGTGATTATTGAATTGTATGTGAGAAGAATAATCAATGATGCGGATAATAAAACAAGAAATAGTCGAGTTGAAATCCGTTGATTTCGAAGTTCATGTTCATCTGTTGATGGTGGAATTGATGGAAAGAGATTGAATGTTGTAAGAAAAATCTTGATTTTTCGAAATAGAACGAAAACTTGTCCACATATACTGAACCCTAAAAAGCATCAGAGAAGAAAAATATAGTTTTGAAGATAATTTAAGAAGCTCTTGAGAACCATACGTATTTATCATAGTATATGTAGATGGATATATCAAAGAGAAAATAAAAGTATACAAACCAGATCTTTCTGTTTCTAATCGACGCTTTCGTATGATAACGTTCACACAGAATGGCACAACAATTTTCAAAGCAGTAAGTAAACCACCGATTAAACCAATTGTTGCTGTTACGATATAAACAATACCACTTTCTGTTTCATAACTATATTTGCATTCAATTGGTCGACATTCATTATAATAATTTTCATATTTATGTGTCCAATTCCACTCTTCAATCATTAATTGGTTAATAATTTGTTGCATTGTTGAATTAATTAAAAATCTACTTTTCGTTAATGGATACATTGCTTCTGCGCGGAATGTTATTATGGATACCGCATAAAACTGAACTTTATCAATACATGATTGATCATAAAAACACTCGAGAGTAGATCGAAACAGTCCATCAATCACATAACATCCTTGATAAACGCCGGGAACAATAAAAGGAGGTGCCTTATGAGAATATGGAATACTTGATTGAATGAAACATGTTGACAAAAGGCTGCATAAACAATTCGAATAATTATATGGTTGATTTTGCATAGCTAACTGATTATAAACCTTAAAAAAACGATAATTTGTGTTTAATGCAGAATGTAAACCATTAGCAACTGTTGTAGTTCGTATAAGACCAAGCATTAAAAGAAAACTATATGTTATCGTTGATTTCAATTGTTTGGCAAATGTTTCAATTTGGGATTTAAATAAATCCGAGGATGTAACTATTGTACTAATATATTGATTTAAATCAGATTGTTTTAGATTATCTACAATTATTTTATTCGATTGTTCGCATAGTAAGTTTAAAGTTTGAAATATAGAGAGACTGAGCGATCGGAAATCATTAAAAATTAGACTGTTTTGATTAAATGAATGAGCAAGGTATTTAATCCATTTTTCACTAATAAAATCACTGTCACAAACTTGATGCAATGTGAAATTAATCTGAACAATATCCTTATAGTCAATTGACATTTTTTTACATGGACATGTCAATGTTTTCGAATATGTTTCATACAATTTTTCATATTGTTTTAATGAAGGTGTTTGAATTGTTTTCGTGATGGTCACTGTAATTAATGAATTGTATATGAGAAGAATAATCAATGATGCGGATAATAAAACAAGAAATAGTCGAGTTGAAATCCGTTGATTTCGAAGTTCATGTTCATCTGTTGATGGTGGAATTGATGGAAAGAAATTGAAATTTTTGGCATACTCGAATAATATTTGATGCACTGAAAAAGAATATGGATATTGAAATATTTAAGAGGAAGAATAATAATAGAATAATTATTTATTTTCTATTTTGTTAATTTTTATTCCATCTACGATACTTATCTTTTCCTGCTGATGGAATTACGAAGATGCATTATGCATACTAGACTAGAATTTCTTTCTTACAATATGCACATATTATAGCCCGCCTTTAGCAGCACGTACTTAAGCTAATATATATACAAGCATTAATACTCTTTTCATGTCCATCATTTATATTTACTCAAAGTTATAAGGATCCAAGAATTTCTGTTAATTACAGTGTTATTGAGGAATTTTATATCATTCATCTTATGAGAGTAATGCAACCAAGTTGTGAAAAAACGACTGAATCGGTGTGAAGCTAGCACAACGACTACGAAACTAAGAATTTTGTGAAAACGAATTTCCGTCCATCGAAAATAGTGTTTCGACGCAGAATTGAATTCTGCATCGAATGGACTGGTTTTTTACGGACGGGAATTAGTTTCATGGTGCTAGCTTCATACCGATAACGACTGATTTCATATAGTTCGATATTAAACGATACTCACTTGTAAGTAAGTATATAACAGCAACTTGTTCAATAAATAATGAAGTTCAGAACGTTTGAAACGTGCTCAGTTTCAATATTAATTTCCTTTTTTTATGTTGAAAGTAAATATTTGAAAAGATACAATACATGGACAGATTTGTGCTGAATATAACATCTGACAACATTATTTTGTACATGAAAGATATAATTTTGTCGAATGGAGTGTTTAATAAATGTAGTGACTGCCTAATTTGCGTTCGAATATAAGTCGAGGTTACAGAAATGTATCTTAGCATAAAGTTGGTGCTGAAGGAAGAATTCGTTTTTCTTTTGTTCAATTATTTTCCAATTCGAATTAGGCAGCTCTTACCATGTCAAAACAAAGCAATCTGTCATTCGAGTTGGTGTTGTTTTCTTTTTAAAAAATATTGTATTTCCGTCAAAAGATTCTAATGGATATCAAAGAATAAATGGGTCTCTCCGTATTTTCCATGTATTTCACTCATTTTTCAGTGTTTAAAAAGAAACTTTTTTATGCAAAAGATTCCACGTGAAATTCTCTACAAAATCATAATTAATCTTACATTTATAGAATGTAAGAAAAGCCATTAAATGAAAAATACCACGAACATGAAATGTACCTCACTTTCAAAAGGAGAAAACGTCATGCGAGTAACTAATTAGTTTTATACATATTCGTTTTAATCATCGACCAAATATACTCTCAATAGGAGTACAGCATTCAATGCAAGGCGAAAAGCTCTGTAAGATGCACTATTGAATTTACTTTATATATATGTTTTTTATTTTCAAAATGATGCACAGTTGTTTTTCAAGTTCACAAGGATGATCATGTTTTTTTAACATAAGGCCATTGCGCAATTTAAAAGCAACTGATGTATCCGCATAGAATGACTTATTATGCAAATTGTAGATCTTTTAGAGACGCATTTTGAGATTTATGAAGATTTATTATTCTATAAAACATCCGGTAGGATAAAGTTGAAATTAGATTAACGAATCTCAAATATGTATACAAAGAGGTCTCTCACAAACTAGAAAAATAGTTGCAAATGCTTTTTTTGAAAATAAAATGTACATGCATCAACTACAGCCCATGGTGGATCTTGTGAAGTTTCTCACGCTGCATCTTTTAATGTATTTTATTCGTAAAAAAACGCATTGATAAAAGTGCTGATCGTTTGTAAAACAGATGCTAGCTTTGAAAGTGAGGTACAGTTTATGTTCGATATTAGTGAAATATATGGAAAATACGTAGAGACACAGTTATTCTTTGACACCCGTTAATTCTTTTTCACTTAGGTTTAAATAGAATATAAATTTATTCATCTGTTCAACAATTTCTTTTTAGTTATTAGTGAAAGAATATTAGTATTTATCCACATGAATCTATAGCATTCGGAAAGAAAAATTTAGCCAAATCGCACTTTAATAAATAAGTCCCATCTATACAAACTGATCTATTCGATTCAGAATATAATTCCACATCGAATGGTAATACTTTTATTCACGGGAAAGCGTGAGATCAGTTAGCAAGACACGTACTTCGATTCGCGGAGTATGCTCCAGTGTTGAAGGAATTAATCTCATTGGAACGTGTTATAGGCGAGCTCTCTCTGCTTAGATCTTTTGTATCACCAACGTCTTATTTGCTTCCAGTGATATCTATTCACTTTTTCATTTCGAAATAAAGTAAAACGTTCCGAACCAAACGAAACAATCTTATTGTTTTCTAAAAGTGGGTGTTAGAGTAAGTGTCATCGACGTGTCATGAGAGAAGTTAGATTAAAGTGGTGTGCACGCGTTCGCGTATTTTCTACTTGTTTCGAAAACGATCATGTCTTATATATATGGGGAAAACAGAGGATACCACAAATCGAGGAATGCATAGAAAGAAAAGATAGATAATATAATTTCAGAGACTATCGCGGTGGCCCATATTTTTGCAGCGGGGAAAACGAATCATCGTTTTGTTGATTTTCATTGTTTTATTAAGTTTATGGCATGAAATGTTTAGCCATCAATTAATCGAGAATTCTCGGGGGGATCAGTCGACACACATGGTGTATCGTCAGTTACACATACCCATGGATAAAATATTATCGAATGACGATAAATCTTTTTCTACTAAGCATGATTAATTCATGATAGTTGAAACAGGATTTCTTCTATATAAATCAACGCATCTGAAATACAATCTGAAAAGGAGTCAAAAGAATGAAAGTTTACGTGGGGTATCTCCAAAGCAAAGTCCACTTTACGCAAGTCCGTTGGCATTGATTGTACTCGGTATGATGAGATTAGTTTTGCATTTACATTGATTTGTATTGTTCATCGATGACAGAGATATGTTTATCTCATGGCATATCTCATCTCATTTACCGCACTGATTACAACTTTTCCGATATTTTGTTTTACTATTCAAGATCTATCGAGATGACTTTCAGAAAATTGCCCAAAACAAACTTCGAACAGCTTGTTGGAAATGAACTGCTTGCTTGTTTATCATTGTTTATATGCATCATTTATTTTCCAATCATGAAAATAAATGTTCTTTGATCGTACTCTCGTACTTACTCTGATTCTATTGAGCACTAGTAAGCAAATATATTTTTAGTTTTTATTCCGTACAATCCACTAAGTAACCTTACTTAGAGCTTGACAGTCACAGATCTAAACAATCTACGGATTAGTTTCTTCTAAGTCTATTCTTTTTCAAGATGTTTCCCTTCGAGATACTAGGAAACTGTGGAAGATAATTTTAGTCAGTTGATGTCATCAAATAGTCATCAATCCAATTTGTCCTCTGAAAGTCTCTCAATTCCATTCCATTGCTACTCGTAACACTCGCCACCATCTGAATATTTGCCATATGCCATAAATAATAACAGACAATACGAGTAACACAAGACACACAATTACGATCACCTTCAACCATGTCGAGTGAAGCATCCTTAACGATGATGAGCCATACTCCAATGAGTTACTAGCTTCCGTTACCACTGACTCCGGCGAAAGAGTGGAACTAAATCTGGACGTAACGTGGCCATCAACGCATTACTCACTCGCCGTGTTGTAACAAACACCTTGGCACAATTGAATTTGGTTCACACCGGAATTCCCATACCACCCAGTAACGTTACATATAGTCATATTCTTGAGGGTCGGTGTGGGGTGGGTGTGAGGATGGGTGAGGGTGTGGTTTGTGCACTTGTGACTGTAAAAAACATAAGAAGCGTCGAAAGATGTGCAATACACTTGTCGCTTTTTGTGGGGTGCATTATAATCCTTTTTTTGCGAATCTGGTCAGCGTCGTATATGTCGTCTAAATACATGGAAGAATATTTGCCATTGTTTGACAGTTGAGTAGGGTTTCTATCGATGAGAAAAAAGAAATCTGGTCTAATGTAATGAGGAAGTGAAGTAAACTCCGCGCGCATAAATATTCTCACAGTGAAAGGTTGATCGATGGGATTATTATCTGTTTGGCCTTTGTATTACCCTTCGTGTGTCTTTGTCCAGACAACTTACAGGTATCGGAAAACCTCAAAATAATAAGAGCTGCTCTTTTGAAATATGGTATAGGTTTATATATGTGGCCTGTATGACGTTTGATGCGAAATATGAATGACTGGTCTGTGTGTAATTATTTACTTTTAGATCGCACGTGGTTTCTCTTTATTTTATATACGCTACATGAAATTTACATTCTGCTTTATTAACTTTTCTTCATTGTAAACAAAGTTAAGAATCGCGCTGAAGGTGAAAACGTGGCATGTCTGATATAATCAATCAAAATAAACATTATACATCGGCGTGTACACTGATTTTCTAATAGCAAATGGCTTGAGGAGACACTAGGAAGAAAATAAATAACAATGAATATAGTTACTCAACTTGACGTGGAAAAGAGTTTTTTTGAAACCGAACGCTCGGTTTTCATATTGACTCCTATTTAAGATGACCTATTGTCACATATATTCAACGGAAGTTGGTGACAAAGATATGAAAGCAATTACATAAAACTAATCAATTGTGTTCCGAAATTACAGAATAAGAGAACATGTCCCTTAAAAGGGTGAGTAAAGAGTTGAAAGCTCTTACGCGATTTTTATACTCACGACTGTCTGTAAAGGTTATACTTCAATCCCCCTTAAAGATCCTGATCAGTGTTAAATCACCGACTATCCTTTACTGGCATTCAGCTCGAATTTATTTCAAACTGCTGATTTCTAGCGTTCAAAGTTAGAAATGTATTTTCTAATATGATCATACTGATACAAAACTGTTTGAAGATACATTTTTCGATTTGAACAACAAGAAAAGACGGAAGTGGATGTGCGTTATTTATTAAAGAAGCGTTTCAGAAAGTTTTGCAATATTCGTATAAGTTCATTTTTATACGAATCTTTTGGTAAAACGAATATGAACAACGTCAACGCCATTGGTAATGATGAAATGATGTACGATGTCAGAAATAGATGTTTTTGCCATTGAATTTCAACACAAGCAAAAGCAAATAGAAAAGCGAGACGTGGCGCTTCGAGTAGAATTAAAATAAATGGACTAAGAAGAAATGCTTTATATAAAGAGAGTTGCTCGCGTAAAATTTCAAACGGACTCAGTTTTGCTCTCATATCACTTAATACCAATTTACGACGCACGAGAATTATTATCAAAACAAATATTGAAATGAAATTAATACCGAACGGAACAATCAAATGAAATAAATTGATAATAATCTCATATAAGCTCATCCATTGTTGTTGAGAATGATTAGCAACACACACGAATACGTCATTTCCATGCTGGGAGTCGATGACTAAACGGTGATGAAACGGTTTATGCAACGCACTCACAACATTTATCACTACAACAATTAGAATAACAATCTTCGCATAATAAACACTTTTCCTTCTGTTGAATTTTACACCATGCGCAGCTATGATTGTTCTTTCCACTGTAACGCAAGTGCTTAACCAATCGTTAATCGTTGGTAAAATCGATAAGAAAAATTCCAATAAAATACAGGATAGTGACAAGAATGTTTTGTTCGTTGTACCAAACGAATTCAATCGTATTTGTAAAAGATAGGCAAATCTTATTCCAAAAATAACGATTCCCAACTCACTCACAATCGAAGTAATCAACAAATACCATCCACATCCTAATTTACGTGTCGTTCTTTGTGCGAATGTAAGAATACAAAGTCCATTAGTAAGGAAGCCGACAACAACAAGAATTACAACAATGACCACCATCCAATGAATAAGTGGTAATTGTTCCGAGAGTGATCTGCCAATAAGAATATGTTGAGCGAGCAGAGCGTCTAAAGAAATGGTGTATTTAGTCATTGTGAACTGACATCGATCTCCGAAGTAACAACGCGGACAAACACAAGCAAATTCGAAATTGATCGTTGTTTGCATTGGTTGATAACATCGACCATCATTCAAACAAGTTATCTCGTCAGTTGGACAAGAACTCTCTGAATGATCAAATTGAACACAATCAAGAAAAGCATTATTATCACAAAGACAAACGTGAAATTCATCGTAGAAACATCGAACATCAAGAATATCACAGGGACGATTATAGTATTTGATACGTTTGATATACGATAACGACATAATCGATGAATCTAATAATTCATCTATTTGATAACAACGATTGGATGGTAAAATACTGGTTCTAACATTTCCTGCGAATGTTCTCATCAGAGTAACAAGGTGATAAGATTTCCGAGTGTTTGTATCGAAATAAATTTCAACGAATACGAATGTTGGTAGAATATCTGTTTCGGTAAAACTAATTATATTCGAATCAAGTAAAACATTTTTGTAAATATAACGATTGAACGTTGAAGCAGCTGCTAATCGATTGCTTAGAGACGCTATATGAACAATAACAACAGGAATATGAGTTTTTGTACGATCTTCGCGCCACATATTGTTCATTGTAATATTGACATAAGCAGAGGACTCTTGACAATATTGACCGTGAAAATTCGGAGGACA